GCGATCCCGTCCTCCCCACAGATCCTCTCGCGCCTCAAGCAGAACCAACAAACGAACCAGACGACCTTTTCGAACGCATACCCACCCTCGGACCTGCTGATCACACAGGGCGACGGTTCGGTCAAGATCCTCGACTACCCGTCCTTTGCGGTGCTGCACACCGTCTCGGCACACACGTCGTCGTGCACGGCCATCGCCTACTGTCCGACGGGGAAGTACGTCGCGGTCGGGGGCTCGGACGCCATGATCTCGCTGTGGGACACGACCGAGTGGGTGTGCCGACGGACCGTGTCCAACGCCAGCTCGGGCGCCATCAAGGGCCTCAGCTGGTCGTGGGACGGCCGGTACCTGGTCGGCGCGAGCGAGGAGATGGGCTCCGGCGGCGGCGAGGGCCTCAGCTCCGGCTTCGACATCTACCACGCCGAGACCGGCGACGTCGTCCACACCATCGCCACGGGCACCAGCGGCATCCCCGCCGTCGAATGGCACCCGAACCGCTATTGGTTGGCGTACACCCAGATCGAGGACTCCCGGCAGGGGAAGTCGAGTTTGAAGATTGTCGGAGCCGCTGGAGGCCCGTCGATTTGAGACACCTCTTCCACACCTTTGTCGGTGTTGTCCAGATCGAGAACCCGGCACACACAGAACCTGTGTGCATGCGTACGGGATACGGGGATTATTCACATCCCGTCTGATCCCAACTTGCTCAGGAAAAGCATACCAGCCCCAAACGGAGAGGACTGCGGCCGTGTGAAACAAATCACCACCCTGGCCGCCTACATGAACAGAACCCCTACTTTTGTCTCGATATCCAGAGATTCCTCCCGTCCGAACTAGCGACTCAGAAAGAGAACCAAAGCCCGCACCGCTTCAAAGATCACCTGTGAGGCCAAGGCACACGGTATATGGCAAAAGTGCATGCATAGTCTTCTCTCTCTCCGGTGGTAGGTGGGAAATACTCCTCGAAGCTGCCACAACTGTGACAATGTTCATTCTTCTGTATGTGTTGCCAAACAGCGCTGTCTCTATCATCATTACGATCACACTGATTGCCCGAGAGACCTAGTCAAGTTACCATGTCAGGTGTCTGACTAGTTCGAACGAGTCTGTATGTATGTGTGTGTGGATGTTTGGGTGTGATGTCTTGTCAATTACATTCGATCTCATCTATATGAATCTAGCGACTTTGTTTACTGTCCCTCTCAAGATTGGATTGCCTTGGATATGAAGCACCTGAGCTTTCTAGCTCAAGATCGGTCTTGTATAGGTCAAACTTGGCACAGGGGGCAAGTATCAAGGCCCCAACAACAGACCATCACGAGCCACAGCCAGCTTCACTGGCCTCTCTCGTGCCCTCACCTACCTCGCATTGAGGCTGCACTGCTAAGAGGGTGCTAGCTGAATACAAAACTGTTTCCAGTCGAATTTCTCTCTCCAACAATCTCCGCCAGAGTTGGACAGCTGGGCACTTCTCTGCACGCGAGTTTGCTCCAATTGGTGCTTTCTCCACATGCACCCTTGTATAATCATCTGCCTCCATGGGCTCAAGGCTTTTTCGCAACATCGGAAACGTCGTTTTTGTGCATGTAGCACAGAGGTTTCTCGCATCCGGTTGCATAGTCTGAATTGCGCTGCGCCTTTCGTATTCCGTCCTTGAATCTTACCCGCTACCCTCAAGTCCACGCGGCCATATTTGCCCCGTAGTAATTGGGTGTCTGCGGCCCTTCGCTTTGAATCAGATATCCTAAGGAACATTTCTCAAATCCCACTTTGGGTTGACCCGCGTAGAATTCATCATACTCGGTGTTCAAGGCATCAACCAAGTTATTGACATTGCCGTCAGGGTGAAGAATCTTCCATGGGTGGGTGCATTCAATGCCTTTGCAGGACTTGAGGACCATGAGGAGGGCATCGAGACGAGGGTGGACTTGGGAAAGGGGTCGATTTAAAGGGCTGTCCAGGAGAGTAGCATTGACTGATTCGCTGGGTCCCAGCAGATTGTTCATTTGCGAGGGATCACGCTGAATTTTTGTTAGTTGATCCTAAATCCACATGAACATAAACGGAGAGAAAGGTATACCGTCATGTCGTACAACTCGTGTTCGTTTGTGCACCAGACTGTGTATTGCAGGTTATACTCATCGGTTATAACGCGCATCGATTTGTAGGTATTATTGGGAAACTGAGCTGAATGCCAATGTTAGCAGTGCTTTCTTCTGGAGATTCTTGTGTCGAAGCACACTGACTGAAGCTTCCGTTGACGCCCTGCAATCCAAAGGCTCCTTCAAACCCACCTGTTCCCCAATACTCGACCATTGTATGATCGAGGGTAGGAACATTGCGGCGAATTTTCTGGGCATCGTCGGGAACCGGCATGGGCAAGCCATCGAAATCGCTTCGTAGTGGGATTCCAGCCAACTGAAACAGTGTGGGAGCGATGTCTGTATGAGTTGTCACAAGATTAACAGTTTTACCTCTGGGTACACTCGGTCCGCGAATATAAAATGGAATGTTGATGTCCTCCTCGTAAGCGCAATATTTTCCTGGCTGCATGCGATGATTGCCCATGTGATAGCCATTGTCAGAGGTATATATAACGTAGGTATTGTCAAGTAGACCGTACTTTGTCAGGCGGTCAATGATGGCCGGAATCATCTCATCGACAGCTTGCAACACTTGCAGGCGTAAGCGATAAAAGTTATCAAAATAGTTGATTTCAGTGCTGTTGAGTTGGGGTAAGTGCGTGATCCAGCTTGCTCCGCTGGGTATATCGGGATTGAAGTTGGGACCCCGTGGAATCTTGACACCGGGGAATAAATTCTCATGACGAGGCGCCGGGATGGGTGGAAGAAAGCCCGGGATGGCCGTCGTCGGATTGAAGATGGTCTGACAATGTGGTGCGATTGGGGCGACACCAAGGAAGAAGGGCTCTCCTGCAGCTTGAGCTTGGTCAAGCATATTCAGAGCATTTTGGGCGACTTCATCTGTGTTGTATTGACCGGGAGTGCTCACAGGAGGGTCTTTGTTGGTCTGGAACGTGGCGTTGTAGTAGTTGTAAGTCCCTGGGTCGATCAAGACTATAAGCAGTCAACAATGTCATTCAAAACGAACCGATATGAAGCCTCACAAGCCGTGCCATTCCACCCTCCAGGGAATGGGTTATTCCAGTTCGAAGTAGAATGAGCATTCATTAGTTTGCCTGTGTAGTAAGTGTTGTACCCCGCCCGCTGCAGCCATACCGGGAGGTAGTCGTTGTTGAGGCCTTGTTGGACGAACTTGGGATAGCCACCTGAAACAATCAGCGCCATAACTTGAGACTGTCGATAGTACACAGACCATAGGGAGGGACAATATCCGTGACATTAGTGTTATGAGCAAGTTTGCCAGTCAACAATGAGACTCTCGAGGGGCAGCATTGGGAGACCGTGCAGAAGTGGTTTTGGTACGTAGTCCCTTCTTTTGCAATCAGGTCCATAACATTTGGCATGTATTGCATGGAATTGAGGTGTAGATCTTGGTCATCGGTCATGATGAAGACAAAGTTAGGTTTCCGCGCAGACTCTAGCCTTGTGCTGCCCTGGGTGCCATGGCTGGAGGCCACGACGGCAAAGGCGAGCACGAAGAGGAAGAGGCGGCAGCACATTGGTGCCATGAGACTGCGAGGCTGTAAGGATACTTGCAGTATTTATAGAAAAATCTCGAGCTAGACTCAATGTGCCATGTAGATGCTGAGGCGGACAATATAGAAAATGATGCTGCTACTACACAGCAAAGTCTGTCAGCAGCTGGAGAGGAAGAAGAGCAACTGTCATTACCTGGAGGCAGGTGCCAGATTGTCTTATAGCAGGAGGTAGTGACGCACCTATCACCATGTTCAATGCACTGGCCATGCGTCGCTCCATCCCTGCAGTAAGCCACCATTTTAGCATGCATGATCTGTCGGTCGGTCGAGGTGTGTCGATTTAGCAGTCCACCAAATCAACTTGCTCACGGAGGAACAGGCCAAATCTCTGCCACATGTCTGTCGACTGTGGCCGAATGTCATTTCCACTGTCGGAGGGAGCATCGTGACAGATCTGAGAAGCTTTAGTGACCGAGTCATTGCTGTGAGTTGACTGGTACGAGTGGTGTAAAGGGGATCAAGAGGCATAGTCAACACATCGGAGACTGACGTTGAACACGAGGACTAGTGAGTGGTCTGGCGTTGGCGGGGTTGTGAGGGACTCACCCGACTCGTAGGCCTTGTGGCTAGTCGGAGCTCGGCATGGGAACAAGCTCTTGGGTGATCTGCTAGCTTGCAGGTTTAACTAAACTGTGGGCACCAGTGGGGGAGCTTGGGGAGTTCTCGGTGAGGTCACCACTTTGTTGCTTAACTACAAGCACTGCTGGTCGCCTGTGACTAGGTAGCTGCGGACCTACGGTAACTGGCTGACTACCGAGTACAGTAATTAAGCTTATTCTGATTGTCAGGTACGCGCGGCATGCCAGGGATCAGCAACATTCCACTGCGTCTATCTTTGTTTCCCTCATCCCCAATATTGTGGTTCGGCCTGAAACACGCAATCAAGACTTGCAATGGCAGCTGAGTTGCTCGCTCCCTGTATCACCCAGAAATATTCAGAAGCCAAAGATATCGAGACTGCGCTCTGCAAATGAATCTCTCTGCCGCTTCCCGCTAGATGCATACTGAGAGACAACGATGTATCTGTCACCCCTAAACGGCGACAACACCTCAATATCCGTGGTAAGGACATCACTCATCTTCGCTGATTTATGGCCAGGCAGTCACCAGCTCAGCGTAATACATCGCGAGAGCGCGTTTCACTCCCTAACCATGTCACCAAATACAGTGCATATACCTTGCGATGACGCCTACGCATATCATTTTGCTGTTCCAATACCACACTACCTGAACTTGATCAGTCTCGTCTTTATCCTGAGATCAACCCTGCAACCTAATTGAATTTCTCCTTCCCTTTCATTCAGCCAACCACGTGGAGATGGCTCTATCCGAAGGCTATGGCCCTGCAGAAGTGAAACGGGAACACTATCTACAGTGGAATACTGTGGCAGGTCGGAAGCCTGTCTCCAAACCACCAAGAAAAAGTGAACTTTCAAGCTCAGACTCCTACGTGAAGACTCCTTACCAGCCCCCAAAGCCTCTGCGTATCGAGCTATCTGCTTTGAAATCCGCCCATTGCGACACCCAGACAATATCATCATCTACCACAGATTCCACTGCTCACCAGACACTGGACGACGCAATACAAACTCTCAAGCAGGAACGAGTGTACAGCTTTGAGGTGGCTGGGATGCGCAAGACTGCTGCGCGTGCTCCATATGCTACTATTTGATTTGCTGTGGTTACTGCGGCTGAGTTTGTTGAGCGGTTAGGTTTACTTTTTGCCATCCTTACGAGTCTCTGTTACAGGGACCGGACAGATACTAAATATCTGGATGCTTGTATACTGCTTCATACATCGGTATCCAGCTGCAATTGTCGCACAAAAATAGAGCAGATTATCCAAGTCAGCCTTGTTCACGGCAGAGGATACCGGTACACTCACCGCAAGGACTCCTTTTCTCCAGTTTTCTCTCTGCTGCTGATCACAGACCAGGCGAAAATCACCGACGAAGTGGAACAGAGGGTCAATGTGTGTCCAGCAGTGGTCCTCAATGGGGTGCAATGTCAAACACCAGATACCTACCGTCACTGTCATGTCCCTCACCCCTCTTATGCTTCACTATCACCCCCCACCCAAGTCTCAGGCATGAAGATCAAAGGATGCCCAGTAGTTCTTTGATTGCCTCTTCAGGAATTACCTCAACAGGCAGGCAAGACCTGGCCACATGATTGGTTTCTACAATGTCAACTAAGGCGGAGATCCGCACGATAACTTCCCCATATCCCATATAAGGGTCAGGCTGTTTACCCCTCGCTGTCAATGCAATACACTCTTGCTCATCTCGACTCAAAACTCATTCAGAAATACACAGGATAGTTAAAAACAGAATATTCATCATCAAAATGACGTCCATGGCCAAAGTCTTTGGTGCCTACGAGGCCCGCAAGGCTCTCCTGGAAAAGTCGACCAACCCGCTCGCCCAGGGCGTAGCATGGGTCGAAGGCCAATTGTACCCGATCAACGAGGCACGCATCCCATTGATGGATCAGGGCTTCCTTCACAGCGACTTGACCTACGACGTGCCGTCCGTCTGGGATGGCCGCTTCTTCCGCCTGGACGACCACTTGTCGCGGCTGGAAAAGAGTTGCGCGAAGATGCGGTTGAAACTGCCCGTCCCACGGGACGAGGTCAAACGGATCCTGTGCGACATGGTCGCCAAGTCTGGCATTCGCGACGCTTTCGTCGAATTGATCGTCACACGTGGCCTGAAGGGCGTTCGGGGCACGCGGAACCCTGAGGACTTGACGAATAGCCTGTACCTCTTTATTACGCCGTACCTCTGGGTCATGGAGCCTGAGATGCAGCTGCACGGCTCGGGCAGCGCGATTATCGCAAGGACAGTGCGCCGGACGCCCCCAGGCTGCATGGACCCGACGGTGAAGAATCTGCAGTGGGGAGATCTGACGAGGGCCATGCTCGAGGCCAACGACCGGAGCGCCGACTACCCCTTCCTGACCGACGGCGACGGCAACATCACCGAGGGCTCGGGCTTCAACATCGTGCTGATCAAGGACCGGGTCCTGTACACGCCCGCACGGGGAGTTCTCGAGGGCGTGACGCGCAAGAGCGTCTTCGACGTGGCCAACAAGCTCGGCCTCGAGGTCCGCCTGGACTTTGTCCCTGTCGAGCTGGCCTACCACTGCGACGAGATGTTCATGTGCACCACCGCCGGCGGCATCATGCCCATCACCTCCCTCGACGGCGTCCCCGTCCAGGACGGCAAGGTCGGGCCCCTCACCGCAAAGATCTGGGATCTGTACTGGGACATGCACTACGACGATACCTACAGCTTTGCCATTGACTATGATGGCGTCGAGGGCAAGAAGAATGGCGTCAACGGCGTCAACGGCACCAATGGTGTGGCTCATTGAGTCATGGCTCGAGAGTAGTAATGATAATCTCTTCTGCCTCCCTCCTCTTCTTCTTCTTTTCTTTCTTCTTCGTGGTCGTCGTGTTCTTTGTCCAGTAATGAAATGTCCAATACCGCGGCCGTTCCCATCAAAAGTGATAATGCTGGATAAAAGAATAAAAGTAGTTCTGTCTGCCCCAACACCCCTTTTTGGTTTCTCTTGACGTAGCTTCGTGGTAACACACACACACACACGCACACACACACACACAATGAGTGAGGTGTCTAATCCACACAATAAGATGATTGATTTATGCGTAATAGAACGGAATATAATATCCTAGCTTAGCTTAGCGGTCGTGGGAAAACCAACAACTAAATCAAGAGTTTTTGTTTTACTAAGGGCCACCGTGTGAACGGCGAAATCATTATACATGTACGGCCACACCACGCCATATCCAACCCTGAAAATCAATCGTAGAGTCTTCCCGCCTTGGCTGGGTCGGTATACTCGACCAGGCCCAGCCCCAGAATATTAGGCGCGACCTCGCCGTAGCGTACTTTGCGGGAACCCAGGATCTTGACCAGTTCGTCGGCGGACAGGTTCGAGCCGGACTGCGGTACCGGTTCGGGCCTCTCCCCGTCGTCGACGTCGAGGACGCTGTAGGGCACTCTGGTGCCGGTTCGCTCGTCGACCACGGTCGAGTAGTGCAGCGCCTTGGCCACCTCGAAGGGCGACAGGCTGATCTTCCTACCGAGCAGCCAGTAGCCGTCGTAGAGCGGCAGGATGGCCAGGATGGCCAACAGCATGAGGCCGACCGCGACGCCGAGGATGGTGCGGTTGGTCCGGTACACCGTGTGGTAGATTTGGTATTGGCCCACGGTGGTGACGTTGTGGACGGGCACAGTCGACGTCTGCACGTCCAGCGCCGACGCGTTCGGGAACATGTAGTCGCCCACCTTTTGCGTCGCGACGGCCACGGAGCTGCGGAACATGATGTCCCTCATGTTCGAAAGCAAGGCGCTCATTGGGGACGCGTAGGTGTTGTTCAGTGCCAGATCAATGCTGCCTGTGCCGTGCTCGAAGATCGCGTAGGGCGCGGCAAAGGATCCCGTCACGGCAACATCGGACCCAAAGTTGGTGACGTCGCTCTTGATCACGATACTCGAGCCGAAAAGGCTGGAAAATGCCAGCGCGATACCTCCCAGCGTGCTGTGCTGACCAGATGTAGGGTCGTTCTGACTTTCCCAGGTGTGTATCAGTGTCTGGTCATGGTCTGGGATAGGGAGCAAATCCAAAACTTTGTCGACGGCAATATTCTGCTCGTAGGGATCCGTGGGGGAAATTGTCCAGTTTATGGTAGATGTAGGTTGCTGTAGTGTTGCCACTCCCTGCGTGACATTGACCATGTACTCCACCATGGCAGGCAAAAGAGTGCATTGTCGATTTGTAACCGTTTCACCCACATACCCTTTCTTGTCCTGCCAGAGCGTGCTGAGTCCAATTTCCCAATGAATCCCAGTGGTGACGTTGACCTGAAAAACCGTGTTGGGCGGTTGATGAACAGTACCATTGGAATCCGCCGATAGAGGGTTCAGCAGCGAACTCCGGGTCGCGTTGCAGGTATACTGGAAGCCCAGTCCGGGTAGTCGCGCGACACATGATACGTTGGAAGTAGAGCCACAGCCTTGCAGGTCGAGTGCGACAGGCGCCTGGACCTTGTAATCTTGAAGGACTTGAATGAAGGGTGGCGTGAAATAAACCACGCCAAAGGTATCGTGGCCAGTTGCCGCCACCACGCCGGAGAATCCAGCAGGAAGAGCACTAGGAAGCTCTGAAGTCATGTTCCGGAGGATCTCTGACAAAACTGTGGTCGAAGAACTGGCTTGTTGTAGCACCACTGTATTCCTCGTCAGCTAGACAAACCCGCTAGGGCTGTTGGGACGATAACAGAAGGCCGTGAGAGAGGACCGTTACCTTCTAGCCCAGCAAAGATGGTAAATGCTAGACTCCCAACGCATATCCAGCCCCATAGTCTCCAATGGAATGCAACCACGTGTATAGAGTTGCCAACGGCCCAACGGAAATGAAGTCTCTTCAAAGTCTGGCCACGGATGGCGTCCACCCACCACGAAACCGCGACGGCCTCGGCAAACATGACGGCGAGGGTCTTCGAGAGGAGGAAATTGGCCAGGGCAAGCCAGGCACTGACGCTGACCTGCCAGTAATGGTAACGATGGCCAATATGCATAGTCGTAGCACCCCACGACTCAACATCTTTGCCATCTGAAACGAGCAGAATGATAACCATGACAGCGAGAATTGCTAACATGATGATCAGGCAGCACAGGCTGAGGAGCGGGATCCGAGCTTTGTTGCCCGCTCTCCATGGGCTGACAATTCCATGTCGTTCTCTTCCGGTCTTGTTCAAGAGGCCATAGCTGCCAAAGGTAGGTTGCTTGTGATCTTCTTCGTTCTCGAGAGTTCGTTCGGCTAACAGAGGACTCGTTACCAGCTGTCGACAGGAGGGCCGCAACCCAAGATGTTGTACTTGACAAACCCACCTTCACTCCCCAAGAAAGAGGTTTTCGCTTCATTATTGCCAGCAAAGTCAGACGAAAGGGTTTCGGTTTCTTCAAGTTCTAGCTGCGGTGGTTTTGACTGTGTCAACGTCGGACTTCTGGTTTGGCTCTCCATATGACACGGTAGACCAGACGCTCCCAGAAGTTGACGGCGCCTTTGTGAAGGACAGAATATAGAGTAAAGATATGAAGCGAATAGGCCCAACACCTAACTTTGATCTGTGAGAGTAAATAGAGGTTACACATGGCCACTGGCTGGTACGCCAGTCGACCAGGCTCTTCGTAACCATTCGCCATTCGGCGGAACGGTCGCGGGCTGTGGGAAGAAACCCATGCAATGCACTATGATAGACATGGCCAAAATCAGGCGAGATTCCCTGTTGCTGCGAAACATTTGCGTAAGTAGGAGGAGTAGCGGTTGTTGTTCGCCTGAAAGATCGCTTCTTCTGGCCTATAGTTGGTAGATGTGAAAGTGACAACCACGCTTGAAACCACCCCTGGGTTGATTCTGTGCCGCAAATGAGGCTCAGGACTTTGGAGCGGGAAGGCTAGTCGGCTTAGTTTGCCTCGCGTTCTGCACGTCCTCCAGAACGTCGCGAATCAAACATGCAGCCAACCCGTTTGTTGTGCAGGGTCATCTGCAGAGGTCGGGTGAGGCGGACAGCTTGTGAGAGGCGGAGCAATGCAGTCCTAGTAAGGTTCTTTGTCGAGCCACCGAGTAAAGCTTGATAAGTTTAAAGGGCATTCGAGCTGTATTATTGCGAGAGCGAAAAGTCCTGTTCGCGACACCCTTGTGCTTCGCCCCCACGGGGCCACCAGAGTCGAGCCGCGTGCAGGGTTTCGTACCAAGTAGGCAGAAGCCATCGCCATCGCCAGCTCTATCCATGTTGCCCTGCACCTTGTAGCCAATAACGATGGTGTGCGGACGAGGGCCTCGCGTCGAGAGTTGAGATACCCAGCAATTCGGTATGAATGGTTGTGATGCTTGCGACTTGCTCACAGATCCATCTTTTAGGCAGTAAAGCAAGACTCGTTTTGACGCATTTGTGTAGCGCCGACATGAGATCTTACGTTGAATATAGCTCGCCCAGAGGGCTGGACTGGGGAAGCTGTCTCTAGTAAGTCTTTCGATAGATATCCTGTTTTCGTGCAGTAGAGGAGAGTGGCTGCGCCTCCTCTATTCGCCCATGGAGTTTCTGCCCCCAAACATTCGAGGCTCGCTGTGATATTCGTTGGGTTTCAGCGTATTCTCAGCACAACTCCTAACAGGGGACAAGCGCCCTTAATATCACGCTCGTGGCAGCACCATCCAGGGTTGCTTACCTCATGCTGTCGACGACGGGAAGTTCCTCGAGTAAGTTTCGAGATCATCGGCACCGTCAAATATATCTCCAACTCGCGAGCAACAAGGATAACACTCGTATCGACCGTAGCTGGCACAAAGATCATGACTGGAGGGAACCAAGAGTGTCTGTATATTCCTCAAAGGACGCCTGTTAGCAAAGGACAGATTGATCTTCTCTTCAGATCACTGTTCCACCCTGTCAGACTTCCTCCTCCCACCATAACTCCGCCCGTACTCGCGCAGGAAGCTCGAGACTTTATTGGTCCTGTCCGGCTGGTCTGGGTACCGACCGGACTCGTCCCTCGCGAGACGCTCGCCGCCGGACCTGTTGCGGCCGTGCCTGAAGCTATCGATCATAACATAGACTGGTACAATGATGATGCTGGTCACCAGGGTGAAGACGAGGTAGAACAGCGGGGCGAGGATGCGGTTGATGAGTCGATTGAGGAAATTGGTCGGCGGGAGTGGCTCGAACTTGGGTAGCGATGGTTTCTTAGTGTCGCGGTCTGACGAGGTCGACATCTTAGTGGCTCTTTTGAAGGCATGAAAGAGGGATGGGGAATCAAGATGTCCCAAGTTTCTTATTGTTAGTTATCCTCTATATGTTGACGTGTCTTGGTGATGAAATCATCACAGTCCCTTCCCCCTCCAATATTGTTGAAACCCGAAGGTTCTGAGCCGCCACGCCGTCCAACCTTGAGTTTGACTTTTCATCTTCATGTCGCCTCGTGTCGCTCAATTGTCCCACGCGATCAACTTTACATTAAACGATTCTTACAGACATCAAGCTTGTCTTTGTTAGAGTCTGGGACCACTTGGCAGACATCGTGTTGAAGTCATTCTGTCATCGCCATCGACCTTGTCAACACGTGCCTAGTGATGATGTCTCAGCTGCAATTTCATCAAAAGTGCTCCTCTGGAGCAAATGCAGTTGTTATTCGGGTTTCATCTTCTATTTCCTAAACTCTGTTTGCCACAACGGTTTCCGTCGCATCCTGCTGATCAGGCAGCCCACCCGTGGTGACCTGTTGACCAGCTTCCAGACCTCGGTTGTGCGCAGTCAGCTTCGCAGCCTCCCAGCCTTCGTCGCCTACGTATCCCGCACGCCCTACGCCCAACCAGAATGCTCGATCGCGACTTCTTGCTCCCCAAGCCCATCCACTTCCTCCCTGAATTGGCAGATGATACCATCGAAACCCCAACCACGCGGTGAAAATACCGAGCACGGAGCCCGAAATGATGTCGAACCCTGCGTGACGATTATCGAAGTACCGCGACACTGAGATGAACATGGCAACGGCGATGGGAATGAATGCAATGATGAGCAGATATATGGGGGGCGCTGCTGCTTGGTTGCGAGGAGGAAGAGCCCGCTGGTGGGAAGAGGAGGTAGTTATAGAGCTTTTGCCTAGTTCCTCCTCTTCATCAAATGCCGACATCTGTCGCGCACTTTCGGAACTTGGTGACAAAAAAGGGATTTGAACAGCGAATTTGGCGCAGATGAAAAAGGTGAGATAGAGCATGCCCGCCCAGCTGAAGCTCGAATGCCCCGACGGCCAACTCGCAAAGGCATTCCGCAATTTGCTCTGGTCGGTGGTGCGACAGATATGCCAATCGACCAGGATCGGCGTGGCCGAATCTAACGAGGTCCCCAGTCCACCCACACGGTGTCTGCGGATGGCCTCAGGACTCAAGTCTGGATCGCACACAGCAAGCAAAAACGGCCGGGGTTTCCCAGCCAAATCTTTCAGGCCTTCGGTGATGACGAATGCTCCTGCAAGGGCAACACCAAGGCCCATCCATGCTGCGTTCCACTCCCAGAGTTTTCGGCGCCAGAGCAACGCCTTGGGGGTTGATCGATGGGCGGTCGGTCCGGGGATGAAAAGCAAAGAGATGGCGGCAGTGATGACGCCGGGTGCGACGATGGCAACGACGATGAGGACTGGAACTGTGACAGTATCCTCATGGTAAGGATAGGAGATGTCTAGATCTTGAAGCGAGAAGGGGCGTTTGTTTCCGTGGATCTTGGAAAAGGCGCCGCCTACTGCAGCTGTTCCCCTAGAGCAATCGTTAACTTCTTCGTACTAAACATGTGTCTCCCAACGTCGGTTCTTACAGAATAAGAATCCAGTCAAGTACATAAGAAGCAATAAGCCTCTTAGAAACACGTCCTATGCCTGAAGCGAGGCTGGAGAGGCCATTGACTGTTTTCACCGTAGCGACCATTTCTGGTAATTGAGCACGCGACCCGACCCTAAGGTTCGCAAGGGTGAAGTTGGAGGAAGGATGGGCCGCCACAGACGAGGGAAAAAGAGGAACAAATAAATTCTTGTGATTAAGTTCCTGGCAGAAGTTGAGTAGAAGAGATTATTACAACAAGGCCAAAGTCCTTTATCGCAGTAGTAGAATAATCAGGATCCAGATCCATTGAAGATCCAACGAGCTCTTTGAAACAAAGCCCAGCTCAGCCAGTTCAGCCAGCCCAGCGCGAGTGTGTGTGGTGGCAGCCTCAGACAATGCTCAGCTGAGTCGCTCGGGTACGGGTTACGGGTTCTGGGTTACGGTCGCATGGCGCGGCTGATCGTGTGAACAAATGCCATAAAAGGGCAGCTTGGGAAATGAGAGGGAAAGGGATCGAAAAAGGATGCAGGGGATCTGGACCCCTCTGCCACCGCCGGGAATCTGGCAAACGTCATCAAAGAAAACCATAAGTGGTGCCCAAGGTCTCTCGGCGGTGCTTGTGGCCCTCGTTGTGCACACGACCAAGAAGTTCCCCGGTGCACTTTTCACCCGTATTATCTCTTACAACAGGTCATGGGTAACTCGTATAAGGGGTGTCGCAACCCCTGTGGCTTAGAATAAGAGGTACCCAAACACCAAGCAACAAAATACTCGCCCCCCTTCACCAAATTGGCCACCTTGAACCTACGCATAACTGCGAGGCTGTGCATCCTCACACCGCTGTGCACTCAGGCACTTGTACATACTCGGAAGATTGTTTGGAATGACACACCCCACCAAGCTTCTGATTAGCTGTCTTCTTTGCGAGCGGAACCTCCAAGAGGCAAACATGACACGCAGACAACGCAACCCAAGACTGCCCTTCTCGGTCCCTGACCCAACCAACATGACAGCCAAGCCATTGTTCCAATCTTGACATGTCCAAGTCCTGTAACAAAGGCTCGGCATACTCCATGGCCCAGTGTGTTTCGGCATGGGTTCTCATGTGCTCTTTCCATCGAGATCGGCGTAGAAATTCCAGCCAAATGACTCGGACGGATCATTGAACCTCAACTTCTTGTCCAGTCCATCGATCCTTTTCACGTCCTCAGCCTCGAGCTTGAAGTCACCCTCGAAATTAGCCTTGATCCGCGACGGCGTCTTGGATTTGGGGATCACGGAATGGCCCTTCGCTATACCCCATGCCAAGGCCACTTGCGCTCCGTTCTTGCTGTATTTCCTCCCGATCTCTTTCAACACCGGGTCGTCGATCAGTTTGCCCATGTTCTTGCCTTTGTCGTAGATCTCGTTCTGGTTTCCAAACGGAGAGTATTGAGTAATGTGGATGCCCTTTGACTTATGCCATGTCGAGAAATCCGCCTGTATCAGATAGGGATGCAGTTCCATTTGATGTGCGGCCGGGACGATTGAGGTTTCTCTCAGCAGCCTCTCCATTTCTGCATGGGAGAAGTTGCTCACGCCGATGGCGCGACACTTCCCCTTGGCCACCAGTTTCTCCATAGCTCGGTAGGTTTCGACGTAGTCCGTATCACCAGGGACTATCTTGTTGTCCTTCATGGGCCTCATTTTGTCGCCCCGCGCCCAGGGCGAGGGCCAATGCATCAGGTAGAGGTCGAGATAGTCGGTTTGAAGGTCCTTGAGCGAGGCATCGCATGCCTTTTCCACGTCGTCGGGATGGTGCGAATTGTTCCACAGCTTGGTGGTGAGGAAAATGTCGCTTCGCGGGATGCCCGACCTTTTGATGCCTCTAGCGACACCAGGCTCTGTGCCATATCTGGAAGGACTCAGCGTCCAGGCTCTGGTCAACTGTAGTGATGAGACTCTTACATCCGTGCTGTATCGATATGTCGATACCCCACCTTCAATGCCTCGGCCACTGCGTCTTCCTGTGCTTCTTTGTCCTATGCAGGTCAGACACTGTGTAGTTATGTGCAGCTGTTCCAGCGGCGCCTTTTAATGGGCTAGGATAGTTTGCTCGAGCGAGAATTGAACTTACCTGCCACGTTCCGAACCCTATGGCGGGGATCTCGGCGCCTGTGTTCAGCGGAAATTGTGTTTTCGTATACCCTACTATTGTTCTGGTTTGGCTGCTGATTTGCCGAGATATATAGCCGGTTCTCAATAGAGAGCGTCTACCACATTGAGAAAGCATAGCTCAGGAGTTGTGGTGTGTCGTAGGAGAGGACGAATGCGAAGGCTGGTGTTTATTTTGGTGCTTTTTCTCTAAAAGACGCAGAAAGCCTCCACTAAACCGTTTATATCAAACACGGAGCTTTGGAGGAGCTCGGTAAGGGCGCTCTGTATTCGGAACCGCGTATGGACAAAGCTGGAAGATCAATTGTGGTATAATCAAGTCGATTGAGAGTCCATCAAGACTGATTTGATGCTGATGTCACTAGTTGTACCGAGGCGTGCACCAAAAGCATTGTCAACGCTAGTAATAGAATGACAAACTGATCAAAAGACAACAGACTTATTCTCGTTGCCCCTTACAGCCGCCCCGGAGATATCGGAGCTCAATTCTCAGTGCCTACAGCACCTACCAAGACTGAGAAGATAGGCTAAGCTGACGCCTATTAGCTCTGTCTTATAGCCAAGATATAGGTAACAGTGCCTATAACCTCAGAAAATCCTCTGTCACAGTAAGTACTTTTGGTGAGCGCCATCGTAATTCCAGGTGGTGCAAGTGCGAGTCGGAAACTGCGCCACGGATACGAACCCCGACCTGAGACAAACAATCATCCATCGACTCTCACCTCTCCTCATCTCATCTTCATGGCCCGAATAAGGCACGGTGATGAGACATGCCAGATCTACAGAACCCTCATTGTTGGACCACCAATCGTACCGTATTCCCTCTCATCTGGCCTTCCCGTCTTGAACAATGGGCCGAAACGTGCGGCGCCTTGTCTCTGTCTGGTCTCTAGCCCAGCGCCACAGGGTGATCGACTGAATGCGGTTGACGGTACAAAGTCTTTGTCTGCTGGTCCGACCACGCATGGGACTATTATCCAAACCACAAGCACATTCTTTGTCGTTCGATCCAATCAGAGACGATAGAAGATGGACCATGCTGGGCGAGGCTCTTCGACCGCGCCGAATCAAGGCTTCATTCTTTGTACGTTGTCTGGCGAACGCTTGCAGCTACCAGTACCCGAGTCACAAGTTCAGACTGGGTGATAAAGGTCACGAATTGGACGGTTCTTTCTGATCCTTCAAAGCCTCGATCTCTCCTCGTAGTCTCCCGTCGGCTTCGTGTCCTTGCAGTTACTACTCAAGCAGATGGTCAACCAGAGCATCGAAGAGGCACCAATCCAGCCAGTTTCACGGTTTTCGACTTCGACCTCCCTCATGATGTCCAGTGCGTCCCAATCTTCCCGGCCTGTCGTGCCAATGCCGCGCTGGTCCAACGCAATTGGATGCGCGAGGGCTGTTATTGCGATTCTTGTCCTCGCCTTTACTGCCGCAAGCACTGGTATCTGGGGTGGTTTTCCTGCCTTTGGGATTGCACTGTTCACCGTAAGTCGACCCATCACTTCACGCGTGAAGAGTCACAAAAACTAACCTGACAACAGTCATCAGCAACGTTGATCATCTTTGCGTACTATTTCGTCGCCCTTTCTCGCAAGCCAGCGCTCTACAATCGCTGGGCAATTCTCGCCCTCGAGGTGGGTGGCACCCTCTTCTGGCTGGTCAGCTTTGCACTATTGTCGAGGTGGACAAGCTTTTATAGTCGTTTCTGGTATGGCAGAGGACCAAGCTACGGTTTCTGGCATGCTCCGTTTAGGCCTTCGGACATGGGACTCAGTCCGAGGACTATCGTCAAGAGAGCTTCCAGCAGCAGAAGAGCGGGCGTCGCCCTTGCTGGAACTGCTGCTGGGCTTGGAGGCATTGAATTGTGAGTCACACCTCCTTCAAATACCGAAATCTAGGAAACGGGCTAATGTTTCATTGCAGCGTTCTCTTCTGTATTACCCTGACAGTCTTCGGGTTGGCTCTTCATCGCCAGAGAGTGGCCGAGTCTAATCGAACTGGAGCTGCCTCTGCGCCGGCTTCAGCCCCAATATCTGCCGATACGCATACAGTCGAGGAGGAGAAGGCAGAAGAGACGACACTGGAGAAGCCGCAGCCGGTTGTTGTTTGAGCACAGAGATATACGGTCGGGAATGAGGGGACTGCAAACTCTGCAGGGAAGGTGTTTGGATGGGAGACCATCCTGGGAGGGGCTATAGTTGGGTTTCTTGGCTGCCTGAGTATAATATTTAATCGGAAGATAGTGATATACATTGACAGCAGAATGTAGTTCAATCCCTCGTTCAGTATGACCGTGTCTACTCAGATCCGTCTCGGATATACCGGAGATGGCGGAGATGATGGAGACACGGAGATGGTCGGACGACCGGGCTTCTTGGCAAACGGTCGATTACATCCTCGGTGGATTTCGGTTGGTAACTTTTCTCGACTTTCTCTTACCACATGGGCTCCTGAGTGGGCATCTAAAATCGCATGCTTCAGTCGTGATTCGATGGCAATTGATACCTCTCCCGCTATCTTTGCTTCTTCCTCCCGCCCAGATCTCAATGCCCGGGTCGTTTCATCTCGCCTTTGGCCGGAGCAATAATCATTTCTCAACCTTTGCTTACCTAGTCCTAGTTGCTCCGGTTGTATTTGCCCACCGCTGATTCATTTAGTTCTACTGATCTGCGCGTATAGATGAAGCTGTTGGTTGAAATGGACTGGCAAGCACACTCTCTGTTTCCTTTTTAACCTGCTAACTGCTCTCTCTACTTACCATCGCGCCTCTCGCTTCTCGGGTCTGAAGTATCATTGGATTCTCAGCATGGAAGTAATAGGCTCTGAGAATGTGGGCACAAAGACAAACGAAAGCCCCTCTCCGGACGAGTCCCAGGAGCTGTCGCTCACTGGAAAGGACCATGCACAGCCTGAAGTCGAAGAGTCAATGGACGCAAGGATTGAGAGACTGGGACGCGAGCGGCCGCCCACGTTCAGGTCAATTTGGTCTGAACTCGCATTCGTGTTCAGCATAGTGATGTCCCAGATTATAACGGAGTATTTTGTTGCGGGGTTCAATGTCATACTGCCCACGCTCATCGAAGAGCTCGGGATTCCTCAGTCGTCTATTGTCTGGCCAGCTACAGCTCCCTCTTTGGTCATTGCGAGCATGCTTCTGGTATTTGGCAGGCTTGGTGACATGTTCGGGGGATTCCCTGTATATATCGCTGGCTTGGTTTGGCTGTTGATATGGAGCATTGTCTGTGGCTTCAGTACTTCTCCGCTCATGTTGGTCTTCTGTCGAGCGTTACAAGGCCTTGGAGCAGCCGCCTATCTGCCGACAGGGGTTATGCTGATGGGGAGTGCTTATCGGCCTGGACCGCGCAAGAACCTGGTTTTTGCATTGTATGGCACTTTCGCCGTGGTCGGATTTTTCGTGGGAATTTTCTGTGGCGGCCTGGTCAGCCAGTTTCTGCGTTGGGGCTGGTTCTTCTGGATCGGGGCCTTTCTTGTCACCACTACCGCCTTCACCTCGATTCTATCTATACCCAATGATCGGAAAGAACGGCGGAAGAACAAAATTCCCATGGATTGGCTCGGTGTCATGACGATAGTGCCCGGATTGGTCCTTGTGGTTTTCGCAATCACTGAATCAGCACATGCTCAACGAGGCTGGCAGACACCTTATATCCCCACCTTGTTTTGCGTGGGCTGCATATTGCTACTGGTCGCCGTATATGTGGAAGGTTGGAAAGCCCAGTACCCATTACTACCTGGTGATATCTTCACGGTTCCATGCATGGTGCAACTCATCATTGCGATGCTATTCCTCTATGGAAACATTGGCGTCCTGTTGCTCTACGGCACCTTGTACTTCCAGAACATCATGGGTGCCACTTCTATCCAGGTTGTCGCGTGGTGGACGCCAATGGTGGTTGGGGGAGTCATCATAAGTACTTTGGAAGGGTTCATCCTCCACCTGGTCTCGGGTCGCCTGCTCTTGATCATTTCATGTCTGGGGGGAATTGGGGCTCAGCTGCTTCTTGCTTGTATTCCAGAAGGCGGAAACTATTGGGCCTGGGTCTTTCCGGCATGTATTCTGGGTACGATTGGCATCGATCTCTCGTACAATCTCCTGGCTGTCTTTATTACCACACAGATGCCGAGGGCACGACAGGGGCTGGCAGGTGGACTGATCAACTCGGTCTTGCAGCTGGGATTTGCTCTGCTCCTGGGGTTCTGCGACATTATTCAATCATACACTGTGGACGGATCGGGGCTGAGACAAAGCTACAAGAACACCTTCTGGTTGGGCGTGGGTGCTGGTGGTGTGGCTTTGGTGCTGGTCACGATCTGGGGCAGGGTCCCGAAGGCGAAAAGCGATCTTACGACGGATGAGAAGCTGGAGCTACAACGGGAGGCCGCACGGCTTGCTGAGGCCTCATGTGGCAGGGCTGTTGAGATTCAGTAACCATTGTGTGTTGTGACTCGCCGTTTAGATCCCATCTAGCTCGAAAGTCCCATATCATCCTACTTTACCTTACAATGTATGGAATCTGCCTTATCCTGTCTTTAAGCTGTCTTGAGCACCGGGTATCCTTGCTGATGTACTGGTTGAGTACAAGGAGGTACCTAGCTACCTAGGTACGCTTGGACAGGTATATGTAGAGTAGTATATCTGCCCTTACCGTATTTGGACTAGCTCATTTTGTGACCCTCCAACCAAAGTCTCAAGCTGCGCCTGTTGCAGGCATGACATCGACTCTTCCCTGCTTCAGGCCCCTCGATGTAATCTCCAGCCTGCGATAACTCCATATCTTCCTCCGATACTTCTCATCGCACATTAGCCAATTATTTGACGGAAAAGCATCGTCCCCGCGCATCAGCCACATTTCGAAGAGAATGCCAAAGTGCCGGTGATGAGATCGAGTGGCACTTCAGCCACAATCCGTGCCCTAGTCCGCGCGAAGTCTCGGAATCAGCACCGCCACTTCCTGACACCAGCAAACGGGCAAGGAAGCGCTACGGCCAGCGGTGTCGTTCAGCAGGCCACACTGCCGTTTATCATCTCTGCGACTTCAGGAAGTTCGGCTGCCGAAGAAGACAGGCGCACTGCGGCTGGACTGTGACCCCGGAGAG